GCCATGATCTCTTGGGTCTCTTGGAAGATTCATATAGCGATATTGAGCCGAAATGGAAGAACGTCATTTCAACGGATGATATTCCATGGCTCAAGGATCATCGAATGCAGTCTTTAGCCACGTTCCCTCTAGCAGGCTACATATGTATGACTGTGGAGGCGGCGTCACAACGTGCACAGTTGCGAGGTATTCCAGCCGAGCAAATCGATGGTTTCCGCCTTCGAGAAATCCAAGTCTCCAAGGCTCTCATACTTGACGATGGTGCTCCAAATGAGATTGTATTCTCTCTGAAGCCTTATGCTGAGGGTACAAGATCCAGCTCTAGTGACTGGGATGAATTCCACATCTCCTCATGGACCTCAGCCAGAGGGTGGCTAGAGCATTGTAGTGGCCTCGTTGGTATCAAAAAGGCCACCTCAGTCAATCCAGTCCGTGATGGATTACTGCACGCCGCTTCTATTCGTCGCCAGCAAATTCAGGGCATGAACTGCCATCAACTCCCCATGGACGCCTTCTATTCTGAACTAGAGTCTCGAGGAGCAGGATATAGCGGAGCGTTCAGAATCTCGCCGGATGCCGCTATGAAAATCCACGGACAGTACTCTACTGCTTCTTTGACTGTTCCTGATACAGCAACTATAATGCCGGCATCTTTTGAGTCACCATCCATTGCACCTGCAGCATTCGTGGATTTGTTGTTTCAACTAACCTTTCCAATACTTGGCGCGGGTAGTGGCGAGATGCCCTCTCTGTTTATGCCGTCTGCCGTCAAAGAAATGGATATAAGCAGCAAGTTGCCCAACCATCCTGGCGACCGGGTGCAAGTTGTCGCCCATGGGCGTCCAGACTTCAAAGCTCCTGGTCCCGTCGACTTTTTCATCGATATGTGGCATGAAGATGACGTTGAGCCTGTGACAAAGATCAGTGGCTTTAGGATGACACCAGTGAATGGCGACATTGATGAGAGTGCAAGCCCGCGATCCATCTGTTACAAGGTACAATGGGAATCTCTTGACAGAGCCAATGAGACGTTGGCTAGCAGCAACGGGCAGAACGGACATGCCAACGGGGAAAACGGTGCAAAGGATCATATAAATGGGCACCATGATTCCCCCGAAAAGGCATCCGAAGAGATGAACGGCAATGGTGTGACAGGCAACGGCAACGGTAACGCGACCAACGGCGAGGTTATAGCATCCAGCCTCAATTACGGCCTAACTGATGCCGACTTCGTCCTAATCTCTCATCACGACAGAAGTGATCCACTCGTGGGAGCTCTTTTAGATCTCCTGGAGCTGCGTACGGCGAAACGGCCACAACTTGTTGACTTTTCAGACGTCATGCCCGAATCCAGTTCTTGCTACATCTGTTTGACCGAAATAGACAAGCCACTGTTTACCAATATGACCACGGAGATATTCGAAAAGATGCAAAATCTACTCACTACCTGTCAGTCTATGCTCTGGGTGACGTCTGGAGCGTATAGATTTGCGGAACATCCAGAGAGCAACATTTCACAAGGGCTCCTGCGCACAGTTCGTTCTGAGGCAAACAAAGCTGTAGCCTCTCTTGATTTGGATCCCCATTCGAAGCTTGATGTGCGGGATACAGCTGAGCTCATTCTCCGTGCCGTCAAAGTTTCTACTGCGATGCCCGAGGATGACACCCCTGTAGACTACGAGTTTGCGGAAGAAGATGGCAAGCTCGTGGTTCCCCGTGTGGTCAAGCAAGATGACATGAATCGTGCCATCTTTCATGACACAGAGGCCTCAGCCGCGCCGCCCTACTTGCAGCCGTTTGAACAATCCGGACGACGACTCACAGTTGCTGTTGGCACTTATGGCGCCCTCGACTCTCTTTACTGGAAAGATGAACACGAGACACCTCTGGGTGCACACGAGGTCGAAATCAAAGTAGTGTGCACAGGCATGAACTTCAAGGATGTAGTTATTGCAATGGGCCAGGTGGCTAGTCCGTATCTCGGTGTCGAATGCAGCGGCACGATATCTCGCATCGGCTCGAGTGTTGGTTCTCTGAAAGTTGGCGATCGCGTCTGTGCTATGTCTCTGGGCGCCTACAGTACATACTCTCGATGTCTTGCGTCCAGCGCCGCGCCCATCCCTGATGATATGAGTTTCGAGGTTGCAGCATCAATTCCTGTTGTCTACTGCACCGCCTACTACGGCATCATGGACCTTGCTCGACTGGAGTACGGAGAAAAGATACTGATTCATGCCGCAACTGGTGGTGTTGGACAAGCAGCCATTCAGCTGGCACAGATGATTGGCGCAGAAATTTATGCCACCGTTGGGAGTGCAGATAAGAAAAAGTTCCTGATGGATACATATGGCATCCCAGAAAGCCGTATCTTTTACAGTCGAGACGTTTCGTTTGGTCCAGCCGTGTGGGAGGCTACTGGGGGCCATGGAGTCGATGTTGTGATCAATTCGCTTGCGGGAGATCTTCTTCGCGAGACATGGGAATGCCTTGCACCGTTTGGGCGCTTCATTGAGCTCGGAAAGCGGGATATCACAAAGAACACCAGACTCGAGATGTCCAAGCTTGAGTACAACTGTATGTTCAGCTCGGTTGATTTGACGCTTGTTGCAGCAGAGCGACCCAAAATCATGGAACGCATATTTGCATCCGTTATGCGCCTCCTCGGAAACAAGACGGTCAACCCCATCGGACCCATCACATGCGTCAACATCCAAGATGTTGAAGGAGCGCTTCGCAAATTGCAAAGCGGCAAAACGACAGGAAAATTGGTGGTAACGCATAGTGGCAGAAGTCAGGTCAAAGCCAAACATCCAGCGCCTCGTTCAGATATGCTAGAGCGCGACGCAACATATCTGATTATCGGCGGGACAGGCGGCCTGGGACGCTCAATCACAAGAAGAATGGTGAGGCGAGGTGCTCGTCACATCATCTTACTTTCTCGGAGTGGCAAAGTGACTGATGATTTGAGCAAGCTGATGAAGGAGAGTCGAAAGCTGGGTGCTTCGATATACGTTGTGCCTTGCGATGTCGCAGATGAAAAGAGTGTCCAAGCATTAGTGGAGGAGCTGCAAGAGGATTTACCTCCAATTCGAGGCATTATCCACGCGGCCATGGTTCTCAGAGTATGTTTTCCATCCACGTCCAGCACATCACGTTGATGTGGCTGCTGATCAAGTCCATCGCTAACTGATATCCTAGGACGTCCTTTTCGAGAAAATGACCTTTGAAGACTACGAAGCCGTCGTTAGAAGCAAAATTTCCGGAGCGTGGAACTTTCATAACGCGCTCATCGATACCCCTCTCCAATTTTTTATTGTCCTCTCGTCTGTTGCTGGCATCGTGGGCAACCGAGGCCAGGCACACTATTCTGCTGCCAACACGTACCTTGACGCTCTTGTCTTACATCGACGCCGCAAAGGCCTAGCAGCCGCATCAATCGATCTTGCTGCCGTCGAGGGAGTCGGTTATTTGGCTGAAAATGCAGCCAAGATGTCGCAGGTCATGAAAAACTTGTCTGACAGCACTGTAGGTGAGGCGGAGGTATTGGCATTAATCGAATCTGCCATGACAGGCAAAGTCGACTGCTTCTGCCAAGGGCAAGTGATTACCGGAATGGGCTTTGACAACGCATCGTCAATGCCCTTTTACGCTGCGGATGCGAAATTCTCTCACCTCCGTGCCGCTCTGCTCGCTGCATCGGGCGACTCAGATGCTTCTTCGGGATCCGAGAACTTGTCTATTGGTCAGCAGCTGCGAAAATGCACCACCGCCGAAGAGGCTCAAGAGATTGTGACACATGGCCTTCGAGACAAACTTGGCGCCATTCTGATGCTGCCTGAAGAGGTGATGGTGGCACGGCAGGGGAACACTTCCATCACGGCTTTTGGACTTGATTCACTGAATGCTATTGAGCTGCGGAATTGGATTGGAAAAGAGCTGCAAGCCCATTTGCAGGTGCTGGAGCTGCTCACTAGCGGACGTGTTGCTGATTTGGCAGGGCTGGTGCTTCGAAAGTCGAGGATCGAGGGAGTGTGGACGGAGAAGTGAGCGTGATTCGGTCATTCATTGTTCTGGTTCTGTCATAATGTGAGGTCAGTTTGGTTAGTATATTAATGCGTGAAAAGGAAGATGATTAATATCAGAGCGGGGGTTCCCTTGAGCCTGTGAGTGAATACCTGCTATAGTCATGGGTGGTGGTTTGAAATATAGTAGTTTGAACGAGTTCAAAATTGCCTTTTTCTCTCATAGTGAATCATCGCCACCTCCCCAACAACCTCGGAACTTGTTCTTGCCTCTTGTCCAATCGCGCAGATAACGATGACGTACCTCGCCTCAGGCGTCCGTCCAAACTTGGCAAAAAAGGATCGATGATACCGAATAGGGTTCCTTTCGCCTCAAATAGAAATCTATAGCCGATAGACTATAATCCAAAATAGTAGTCTAAACAAGTGCCGAAAAGCCAGACTATTTTCCAAGATGCACCAAGATGACCAAGACACTGAATCAGGGAATTTCTGACTGCTGTTCAGAATCGATTAAAAACGGATTGGCGGTATCTTCCGTAGGCGCTAAACCCACGTTGGCCAGAGTTGCCAAAAGAGGAACTGCCGATGTACCGCCCCGCTTACGTACTCCATCCCAGCCTTAGTAACGGAGCTGCCGTTGAGTCTTGCGCTAATGAGATCATAGGCGTCAATCTACCCTGTGAGACCAGAATTACTGAAAAAGGAAATGGAAGAGAAGGCCGAGGATAGACGATAGTTTGTAATGTTGAGTTTTTGATGAGATATTATCGAGATTTGTATTGATATTGAAAGTAGAGATGAAATTTTGATGGCTTCGTAAATAGTATATATAACCTCGAGAGTTCTTGAGGAAGATCAATCATCTCATAACTGCACCAACAAAACACACTACAACACAAACACAACATACAAGCATCAAACTTCTGAACAACTTTACAACTTTCTCAACAAACAAACAACAAAACATCATCTATCATGGCCTCCAACGCTGGTTCTTATTTTCCCCTTTCCGGTGTTGCTCGAGACGGCTGGTCATCTGAGACCGAAGCCACTGCAACCTGCCTCTGCGGCGCTGTGCAAATCGTCTTTGTAAGTTCAACAATATTATGACTCTTGTCTTAAACAGAAAGTTGTATATGCTAACATGACTATTCAAAATACAGCCTACTGAAGGCCCTGGTCTGGTCAACACTTTTGTCTGCAACTGCTTCGACTGTCGCAAGGTCACTGCTTCCATGTTCGCCTCCAACTTCACCGTCGACAACTCCTACATCAAGTTCGTCCGCGGTCAGGACAACTTGACTCGCTGGGGCCAGGACAAGACGCCTACTTCCGGTACCGAGATGTCCAACAGCTTCTGTACGACCTGCGGCACCCTCATGTGGCGCCGAAGCGCCCTTACGCCTCACCTGAGCTTCATGAGAATTGGCACCGTCGATGACTTCAACCTGCATGAGACTAAGCTGCGACCCCAGAATGAGCTTTTCACAGACTCTCGTGTTAGCTGGTTCCACGGAGTGGAGGGAGCGAGAAAATTCACGGGTCCTTTTAAGACGTCGAACATTTAAAGCTGAAGACGAGATGCGGAAACGACCCATCTTGGTCAATTGACTAGAGTACAATACCTATAGATAGATAGATGCATGGATGAATAGACACTGGACTTCTCTCTCGACGATTTCGTTGCAAAATACTGTGGCTTTCCCAGCGTGACATGTCAAAGGATGTGGCTGCTTACCAGCCGCACTCTCGTTTTAAGCATACCGTAGGCCGCCAAGATAATGCACAGGCACAGAGGATGAGTGTGGGCAGATCTTGATTGCATGGAGTAAATCGTGTGTGTCGCTCGGAGCATAATCGACCACTGGGAGCTAAAAATACAAAGCGTCAAAGAGCCCGCCCTGTCATCCTCCTGTCCTACCCGAGTTGAAGCCATGCTTCCGCGATGCATTCCGCCGCAATACGACGCCGTTTACATCATGATCCCACTCTACCCGCGGGTCAGCCCTTCAAAAAGCCGAAGAGGCGCCCGACTATTGGTACCCAAACGGAGCGGAATCGTTCTAGACGGCCGGGACTGTTGCATTGAGTCACGCGCCGGCAGGACGCTTGTGGGCTGATGCCTGAGCCAACACATGATCTCACGACATTCAGCTCCCGAGAGACACGGCTTTTGGAGCCGTTTTCTGTGCCTGCTCGAGTCAACGCCAGGCCGATTGCATGCTAGCATTGTGTTTCTAGGTGAATGCTGGCCTCGGTAATTGTCTGAGTCGGAAGCCCCCGCATCCCATAATACGATGCTTGGCGCGTCGATCCCGCCAAAAGCTCCTCCACTAGCGGCCGGCGTTGCCTCACTTACAGCCGGAGCTCTGCCTTTCCCATCCGCTGCCAGTCAACGGTAAGCTAGCTATACATCTTACGCAATGGAAAGGAGCAAGTAATCCTCTGGCCTCGTATTCATTGTACAACCCGTCATGCAGCTCTCAGCCACTGCTATGCGACTTTCACCGCCAGGTGAAGGCTCGTTTGGGAAACGCGGTGCTCGTATTCTGAGAGGCTTTAAGCTTAACGTGGAAATGTGGATTGTGCAGATCCCCCGGAATACGTGAGGCTGTCAGAATGTGTTGGCCGATTTTGCCATCAGTGAGCCGTCAAGAGTACCGATTGCACGGGATAGTCGGTAGGAAGTATACGAAACGTAGCATTGAGTATCCCAAAGAGTTTATGCATTGAGAAGATGTACGCATTGAGAAGACTCTGGGAAATATAAAAAGGCAGGATACTTCCCGTTGAGATAAGACTCTCGAACAGATCATCTCACACTCCCAAGACTCATACAAGACTCACTACAACAACGCACTATCTTCAATTCTCTAAACTTTCTCAAGTTTCGCCAACATGAAGTTCACCACCACTGCCGTTCTTGCCATTGCCGCATTCGTTGAATCGGCCACTGCTCTGGGCAAGGCCCGTGTCGTCAACAAGTGCCCCTTCAGCGTCACCACCTGGTCCGTTGGCAGCGCCATCTCTAACCCAACAACCCTTGCTCAAGGCGGTTCCTATGGCGAGACCTTCTCGCGAGACCCCGTAACCGGCGGTCGTGCCATCAAGGTTACCGTTCAGCCCGATGGCCTCTACACTGGCAAGCCCCAGACCAACTTCGCCATCAACCTTGAGGGCAACACCATCTGGTACGATCTTTCAGATGTCTTTGGCGATGCCTTCAACGGCCACAAGGTGGTTGTTTCCAGCGCCAACACTGCTTGCCCCCAGATTGTTTGGGGCAGCGGTATTCCTCCTGCGGGAAGCCAGGTCAAGAACTGCGGTGCGGATAAGGATGTGACTTTGACTCTGTGTGCATAGAGCAAAGAGTGGATGGAAATATGTCAATGGAAGGGTCAAAATCAAATTTATGATAGAATTTCAAGTCCTAGCTATGTTTAAGACTTATGACAGTATGAATTGATGAGTTTACTTTATTCTTCAGGAATTTTCCTCGTTTCAGGCTTACTTGCTCCCTATAGTGAAATGCATAATTTGCCTGCCCACAATGATAACTTGGTGTAATAGAAAATATTCTCTGTCTTTGTTCTATGCCATGTCATTGTTCAATGGAAGAAACCGTTGTTGCGATCCTGATGCGAACTGGATGTGAACCTACTAGCGATTTGCTTGTACCTAGCGGCGATCAATTATTGCAATGCGGGCTTTAAGACTACAATTGATCACTGGTCATTAAAACAAGAATAAATATGAAGCCCATAGTTTTAGAAAAACAAAATTGTGAACAAGAGTGATTTGAAACAAAGAAAAAAAATATTTGCTTTCCATATTGAGACAGGATTTCAGTTTCGGGCAAAAAGGAAAATCTCCGATACTGGGAATCGAACCCAGGGCTGCTCGGCACTCAAAGGATGAGAGCGAGCGATGTTAGCCACTACACCATATCGGATAAGCTTCTATGATGTGATCCATGGAAATTTGCTCTAAGAGCTATCCACACGGACTTCCATCTCTTCGTCACCTAAAATCGCCTTCGTAGTAGAAGTTGTATAATTTCTCGACATGGGAGATTTGGCCTTATAATGATGCTACTAGACATGTGTGTACTATTGTCGAATTTGGCTTCGAGATTGTATACAACATAAATGGTATAAAGATGACATTCATATGTATCAACTACCGACTATTTACATCACCTTGTCTCTTAAAACAAGGGAAAGAATATGTGCCTTCCTCTTTTATATACATCACTTTCACCTCTCTTACGCCGCAGTCGTGTTGTACTGAATGTTAAACGTCTGAGTGAGCGTGCTCTCATAATCCTTGGCATTGTTCACATCTCCATAGATGGTCACCGCCCTGATCAAGAACTGGTAGCTTCCCTCAGGAACGACGACACCCTCTTGTGTCATTCCGGTGAATGCGTTGACGTAAAAGGATCTTCCAGTGAACGGAAGAGGGTAGCCAGGAAGACTTCCCACGATATCGACACCCAGCACATTCGTCGTGTTGACCTTGGCTTTTGTCTCGCCTGTAGCGACGAGGTCGACTCGAAGGAGAGGCGAACCAGCATCGATCTGCATGAGGGGAGCGGGATAATCCGGAGGAGGGTCAATGGGCTGCGGGGATCCATCAACAGGATAAGGAATGATAAACGTAGTATTATCGACAGCCGGTGTGGTCGAATAGACGTTGTAGTGAACAATGTAGTTAAAGTCAGGGTCGAGCACCGGAAGCTTGGCCAAGCTACCTACAACTCCCAAGTAAGGAACAACAAGATTCTCATTATTTGTACCATTCAGTGTGATATATCCACTGTAAACTGGGAGGGCGGAAGCATTCAGTCCATGAGGGGGAGTTGGTACGACGGTAATCTCGGCCGACTTTCCTGCTGGGACTGTGACCTTGTTGTGGGAAAAGGTAAGCTTGGCTGAAGCACCCTCAGCGATGGGGTTCGGGAATGGGGCCGGGAAGTGGCTGTCACCATTTCCGTATGTGTACATGGTCAGAGAGGGAGTGTGGCCGATTGTGTATGTGACGCTTCGCTTTCCCGTGTTTTTGATCGAGAAGCTAGCCTTCTTGACAAAGTTGTCAGTGTCGTTGAATGCAATGTTGGGAACGCTGAGCAAAGTTGTTGCGTGGGCGGCTTTGTAAGCTTGAGCCAAACCGGCACCTTGCTGAGCGACAGGAGCCAACTCATTGGCATAGAGGGTTGTTCCATCATAGAAGGGCAGCTGGAGAGCCGTTGAGGATACCAAGTTCATCAGAGTCTTGGGGTCCTTGATGCCCCGTGCTTGCATGATAAGGGCATAGACTGAGGCCATGAGCGGCGTAGCCATAGAAGTACCCTGATCAATTTGGTAGCCTCCGGCGGGCAAGGGCCAGGTAGAAAGAATGGAACCTCCGGGAGTTGTGATGGAGGGGTTGATATCAGCTTGCCATGTTGGGCCCCAGCTTGTGAAAGTGTCAATGTAGTTGGGATTGACGGCATTGGGAACAAAGACGCCAGACTTGGCACTGGATGTTGGCTGGACAAAAGTCAAATACAAGTCTTGACCGTCGCTGATCTGCTTTTGCCACAAGACACCTTGAGAATAACCCGTCAATCCTAGGCCCGCGGCGGCGGTGGCTCCAATTTGATAAGGGCTGCAGGTCAAGAAGTGTTAGTTGCGTGACGCCAACTAGAAAAGAGAGATTGAAAGACTTACTTTCCAGGCCCATCCAAGTAGAACATGTAGTATTGGGCATTTCTCAGCTGCAGATTCGCAACTTCACCCCAAGAGGTACAAGAATCTTGCGACAGGAGAACAACTACGTTGCTGAGGTCGGCTGGCGCCTTGTCATTGAGAGGATTGCATGCGCCATAAGAGCCATCGGTAGTAAACTCAGGTGTCACTGCCCACACTGGGAGAGTAATGTTGGGGAATGGGTAAGCTCCAGGGGTGTACACAAAGAGAGTCTGGTTAGTTGTGGAGTTGTCAGTGCTCACATATGCTGCCGTTCCCAAAAACGGCGTCCAAGTGCTCTCAACAGATGACACCGCCGTGACGCCTTTGCCGTTGGCTGGGGTGCCTGCAACAAATAGTCCTCCTGAGCCTGAGTTGCCGTTGGCCACCGTGCAGGGAACACCAGCCTCGACTACTCGTGAAACAGCAACTGAAAAGGAGTCTTCCGTCCAGCCAGATGATCCACCAAGAGAGATTGTGATGATATCCGCTCCGTCTTCGTAAGCCTTGTTGACAGCTGCAATGGCAACGTCGGCTCCAACATCACCGCTGCAGCCAAAGACTCTGTACATGCCAATAGTTGCTCCAGGGGCGGCACCAGTAAAGCCCATGGGGTTTGGCAACGCCCCGATGATGCCGGTGACGTGTGTTCCGTGGCCATCACAAGTGCTGAAGGGTTCACCGCCAGGCACGGGGGTATTGCTTCCATTATAATCGTCTCCAACCAGGTCCTCTCCATATTTGACAACACAGCCATCTTTGCCAAAGCATGCACCCAAAGCGGGGTGGTTGAAGTCAACTCCAGTGTCGATGATGCTAATCTTCACACCCTTGCCTGTGATTCCCTCTGCATGAAGCTTATCGACCTCAACGGCAACGTGTGGTGCATAGGTGTCCTTCGCAGACGTTGCTCTACGTAGAAGATCTGAAGCTTCCTTCAAGTGGCTAGAATCACTGCTGACTGAGCTGATTGACGTATTCGCCGGTCGTTTGTAGAGCTGGACAGGCCACACCTGTTTCACAGAGGGAACAGATAAGATTTTGGCAACGGAAGAACGTGCATCTAGATCAATGGTGTTCAGTTGGAAAGAAGCACCTTTGAACAAGGTATAGTTGAGATTCATCCGCTTGGTCGCAGGGAGGCCATGCCGTTGAAGGTCGCTAAACAGCGATGCTTCTTCCTATTTGTAGTGACAAAGTTAGAACTCAACATTTGAGCTGTGGAACCAAAACGGTTAAAAGGGCAATGGAAAGGATCGAATCAACACACATGGCCGTCCTCATACTCGACAATGTAAGCACCTGGGACAAAAGACAGCTCTCCCTTTGTCCAGTCTTCCTTTCCATTGGCGATTCCTTGAGGGCTCTGGGCAGCCGCGCTGGCGCCATCTGCTAGAAGCAGACCCAAGATGGGTAGCAAGCGGAGATATGCCACCATTGTCTTTTCGTAGCAAACAGTTCCGAGAATTGAAACTCGCAACTATCGTGCTGCTTGGCCGGAACGAAAGCAAAAGCTCATCTCAAGACAGCACCCCATGTCTTTATATACCCGAAAAAGAGCACAACAACTCAATTCCCGTGCCTGCCAAGGCGGTAACGTCCCATTCAATCCATCTTTGCTACCCATGAATGGCTATAGTTGTACTGGCAATGGCGAGCTTCCATTTGCGAGGTACGATGCCCGCGGGGACCGGGATCCTCAATGGCACACAACCAAGTAATCGAAAGCTGCATTTCCGAATGCCATCACTCTTCCAGATACGACGCAATACATGTGATGGTGGTTTAAAGCCTCTCGTCCCGCACCGTTGGGTGGAGCCTTGTTTGTACCTTATTTGTGGTCTGACAGGGCCAATGTTGGTGAGCTCTCTCGATCGAAAGGGAAGGTCAAATCTGCGTTGCCGTAACGAATCGAATCTGCATATGTGTCTTTCATACTGTGCGGAGTCTTTTTGTGCTCATCATATCTGTGTTCAGGGACCTTCTAAATGAGGATGAAAAAAGCTTACTTGGAGCAGGGATAGATTTAGCTCAGCGTCTCGTAACAATTTCGTCTGGTTCGATTCAAGTTCATCCTACGGGTGTTTTGTCAATGAATTAGTCTTGCATGCCTAGTGATTTTGACTAGCAACAAGGATCGTCGTGGAATTTACTTACAAAGGGATTCCATTTGGACCCTTGGCCGGGATGAACGGCTGCAGATAAGCGGCGAATTAATCGGGAGGAGTCTTTTTTGTGGTAAAGGTCGAACTGAGAAGAAAAGCGTGCTCTGTCTCGATATTAATCAGAGCACTGAAGGCTCAATTGCGTATCAATGAATCCGTACTGACCTCAACTTTGTTTGATCTGTTTGCGAAGCCAGATGTGAGGCCAAACTACTCTTAACAGCGCATCTAGCGATGGCTTGTTCTCCAGCGAATCGCGACATTATCGAACCACAGTTAAGGATTATCGTGTTGCCAATGGTCTAATGCGAGTAAGACTGGCAAACCAATTCCCAAGATGGTAGCTGTGATAGGTACCACAGCTAGAAAAGCCAAACAAATCCTTGCCGTGTGAGGAGAGTGTTGACCAAAGTCCCCCCACGAATGTTGAGATCCAGCGTACCTGCAGGCCATTATTTTCGGAATAATCGGGAACATGAGAAAGCGCAAGGCTCTGGTGTTTAAGGACCTCGCATCGGGAGTCGAAGAATTAGAAAGAGGAAACAAGAGAGCGAACCGACGCCAGACAGAGCAGCGAAAGACCAAGGATACATAAGCTGTGGAAATTAGGTCGAAGCAGCGGTATAAAAGAGTCAGCCAAGCTATTCCCAAACGATGGGAAGAATAACTAAACATTGCCGGGTCTCGTATTGCAACCTTGTCTTGCCCGGCGTTTCGGGACTTTTGCTTGAGCCTCTTGAATGACTTCATTGACCTGTAGGATTATCAGAGTCTTCATGCTGAGGATACAATATGGTAGAGACAGTCCTTTACCGGGAACACTTGCCATCACTGCTGACTCGTGGCTGAAGGGTTTATGCGACACCAAAACGAACAGGCGTCGTGGAACAAGAAGAGACACCGAGGGAATGAGCTTTGACGGTGCAGTAGACAGACACACAGCAAGAACACGGAGTATTTCCTTTCTATAGTCACTACGAAAGGACTAGGGGTCTGTTCTTTTGACGTGTATGCTTCTAGAGTCTGTTTGTACATCTCTGGGCGTTGCTTGATTGCTCAGCCAGCTTTCGGAGGAGGCGGCACTCGAGACGAACCATGGCATATGATGGTATGTGGAACTTCGACAGTGATTCCCGGCTTGTCATCTTTCCTTTTCGAGATATCTTCGAAGCTTGTTCATATGCAAGACACTGGATGCGATGGAAACTGGTCGACTCTATGCGAGAGACTCGCCTGCTTGGAAGTTAACGATCAGGAGGCAGCAAACTCAGCTGGAAGTAGTAAGACGAGAGTTGAAGAACATGATGGATGGGTACCTCCATATGATTTACGAAATGATCGAGACGGATGTAGTACAGTTGAGTTCCAAGGTTGCTGAAGCACCTATTCACTCAGTACTACCTAGGTAGCACTGCCAGCAAAAAGCTCCCCCCCTATTAGTAGTCAGTTGCCCAGTTGCCCAGCACTATAATGTCAACAGCTGGCAGAGGAGGGAGGAGTGATTCACTGCTGAGGAAAACACAGCGCACAGACCAGGGCCTCGTCTATAAAGCCATCTTCCACCAGTCCAGCTTTCAACTTTTCTTCTTTTCTTCTTTCATACCCAAACCCCACGGTGGGGGAGGATAGGAAAGCCCCAGTACTTCGAAGTTCAAGATCTCGTTAGTACTAGGACCGGAAGAGCAATCTTCCTCTGCTCTATGAGCTGATTCATAGGGGGCACAATTTTTGATTTGACAACCTTTTTCTTTCTTTCATTGTGAGCCTAGGCTTGACCTGGGGCACGAAGAAGGAGAGCAAAGAACAGCCGACTAGCGGTGGTGGGAAACGCGAGATGGTGTTTTGTTTGTTTGGCAAGATTTCACGTTTGGGAGAAAGGACCAGCATCGTAAGAGATGATCAAACGAAAGGAAATGTTCAACAGCAGTCATCTTTGAGGCTGGAGGCTGTAGTTTGTTCGAACAATTTGAGTAGCGAAGCCTAATCACCCAGGTTGCTATCGTGCTCGTGATGTTTGCGCGTTCAGCACATGAAAAGGTAAGGTATCTCTCTCTCCCACTTCAGCTGGTTTCCATTGTTCCTGATTCTTCTGACTCTTGTCAAATCCAGAGTAATAGATTTCCATCTTCCATTTCCGTCATCATCTCCATCTCCTTTCCATGTTCTCGTCAAACTGACTCTCCATCATATAGCCTTCTATCTCCGCCATTGGAATGGAGATTCGATCGGGCAATTCCAATTTTAATCATCGCTTAGCTGACCGACCGGCGATCTGACATGCGATCTGCGGCCCCCACGCAGCCAAACTCGATCCATTTCATCCATCCATCCTCCGTCACCGACCGACCTCAACCACTGCTCAGCCCTATCGCGAAACACACCGCAAATCGCCCAAAAATCTTTCAATGCCTAGCTAGATTCAAGGACAGCTGCTACGCACTCTCATTCAAAGCGCCAATACAAGTGAAGCTCGACGGATCAAGTTGCCGAACCTCTTATCTATCGCGATGCTACGCACGCTAGCTTGGCTTCACCCTGGCCAAGTCTCCGCTTGGACCGGGACTTCTATCCCCATGGGGATGCTACTGTAACGTTACGCTGTCAAAGAAGGGCCTTTGAAGATGATAGTGCAAATACAGGCATCATGGCATCCGTACTTATGGGATATCGCGCCCAGTCCAGGCCAAGATACATTGGTCACAGAGGCAATTGGGACGCAGCACGGAAGCATTGCCACTGCAGATATGAGGTTTCTCGTAGTGGTCGTGGGATTGGCCTCCCTAGGTAATGTCCTAACGATGAAGATGAAATGCGTTTCTATCAATTCTAACAAGGCATGTAGCACGCGCACAGCTTTTGGGAATACCGACTGTGCCATTCAACATCACCTCGGATCGGACATATGACTTGAGAAATGTCCATACCATTGTTGTCGACCTTGCACACTCGACTACCCGCGACCAAGATGGCCTAACTTTGATTCCCCCAACCTTATGGGAATTTGCAGAGACGTTTCAAGATGATCTTGCAGGCATTGGCATCAACACCATCTTGCTACCTGGGACCAAATCCATTAGCAATGCAATCTACCTCACCCTCGACAGCGACAAGTCGCAATTTGTCAATGCCGCTGGAAACAAGACTTCAGAGGGCTACCGTCTGTCTGTTACTTCTTCAGGAGTCACGGTCAGCGGTGCCAGTCCCCTCGGAGCGTGGTGGGGAACACGGACAGTCCTGCAGCAGGCCTTGATCAACAACAAGAAGATGAAGCTCGGAACAGGTGTCGACTCTCCTGGATGGTCAGAGAGAGGCATGATGGTAAGCTACCCACACGACGTAGCTATGTGAACGTAATACAGAAAACGAAGCAGCTAATCGATATCAGCTTGATGTTGGCCGCCATTATTATCCGACAGACTTCCTCGCGGAGATGTGCTCCTACCTCTCGTTCTTCAAGCAAAACGTTTTCCATCTTCATCTCAGCGACCACGTCTGGGATCCTGCCAAGCTCGGCTCCCATGAGCTCGCTCTCCAGCTCTATGCTGCTTTCCGAGTTGATTCCACTGATCCAGCAGTCGCGGGTCTTGCGCGCCCAGTCAACGAAACATATAGTCCATCCGTTTTCGACGATCTGCAGCAGAAGTGTGCACGCCGTGGTGTGACCATTTTGCCTGAGCTCGAATCTCCAGGACACTCAATGGCGACGACTGACTGGAGGCCCGAGATTGCGCTTTCTGATTTTAGCATGCTCAACTTGAGCCATCCCGAAACGCTTCCCACTGTCAAGTCGTACTGGAAGGCGGTTATCAACAACTTCCACTCTAAAGTTGTGCACATTGGGGCAGACGAGTACGACAGCAACTTCATCAACGAGTATAGCACCTTTGTCAATGATATGAGTGCCTACATCCAATCCATTTCTGGGAAGAGCACTCGCATCTGGGGTACTTTCCCGCCCTCTTCTGCCGCCGGCTCTATCAACGTCAACAAGGATGTGACAATCCAGCACTGGCAGATTGGCCAGGACAACGGCCTATTTGATTTTATCGACAAGGGATACAACATCGTCAACAGCGATGACTACTTCTACCTCGATCTCAAGTACTCTGACGGCGACGTCTACCCCAAAGAGCTCGATATCGAGCGTGTCTTCCACGGGTCTCCCGACGGCAGTGCATTTGCACCTAACATCCTCGACAATGCCAACGCAACAAACAATCCCCCTCGAGACAGCCCCAACGTGCTTGGTCACTTGGCCGTTGTATGGAATGACTGGGGCCCAAATGCCAGCACCTACCACGAGGCTTACTACATGGTCCGCAACGGTTTGCCGGCTCTAGCTGACAAGCAATGGGGCGGCTCGCTACAGGAGAAAGATTATGCTAGTCTATTTGCTACGCTGCAGCCAGCTGTGCCGGATCAGAATCTCGACCAGCGAATTGCCTCCAAAGGCTCGACTATTGTATCTTACAACTTCGCCCAAGGCACCCTCTCATCAGCGCTTGCTGTCCTGGATGGTTCTGGAAATAACTACCATGGCCATCTCGAAAACGGCGCCTACGTTAGCGGTGGTGCTCTCCAACTCAACGGACGCGGAGCCTACCTCAAGACTCCTCTGACGAGCAAAGGACGTAACTACACTCTTTCTTTCTCCGTGCTACCCAAATCTCACGGCGGCGCACTCTTCTCTGGCCCGGATAGCAGCTTTCTCAACGGCAATGGCACGTCAACGAATCTCATGCTCGTATCTCACAATATTGCCTATCCTGTCAACCTAACCTTGCCCTTGAACAAATGGAGCGACGTAACCGTTCAGGCTATCGGCCCGCAGACATTCATCTCTGTTGGCGCACAGCGTCAGGAGGTGACTATCCTAATGGGTATTTGGGGAGGATACATGCAGGAGGGACCGATGGCAATCGAGGCGCCGATTCAAACAATCGGGCAAGGAATTAATGGACAGATGAAGAACATCAAGCTTTCCAGCGATGTATAATCCGACAGGAAGTCGAAATTTAATGTGCTTATTTTAATGATACGAACCTTTACGAATCGATCGGTACGATAGCTATGATGGAAACTCGATGAATATCCCATGCGGTTGTATGATGTATACTGGTTGAAAGGCGACCTGACCTCTACAGAGCAACATGCATACTCTTGCACAATAGAAGACGATTTACGCACGTTGTCTAAGAAGAATCCTTGGCATTTCTTGAATTGTAGCTGCATTGTCTAGTACTCCACGACTGGGCGATTTTAAAGATGCTGTTAGAAAGGTAAAGTGTCCGCATTGCAAACAACCATTGATACCTGATGTAAAATCCTTGATAGAAGCATTAAATACTGACCAGTGAATGAACCAGAATTTACTATCATTTTTGACGTATTTCTTCGCCTCTTTAAATGGTTGACGACAACTTCCCACGTCGTTTGCAACGGTTTCTCCACTTTCGCCACTTCCGACTCATGATCTTCATCCCAACGCATAAGTTATCTCTAACGATTTCGAAAGAATGATATTATCAATTCATCATGTCCACGAAGATCAGACTGAATAGCAAGCCATCTACCCACCGCCAGTGGAGTAAACATGATGTAATCCGCTGACAACGATCGCCTTCTATGAGCTCATAGATACGATATCGACGATTATATATATGGCTGGATCGCAATGATTGCAGACATCTTCAATCAATTTACATTTTAATTTTCAATTGGATCTTCACGCAAAAAACACTCGAAAGTACAGAAAAATAATTCACTATGTCTGAACATCCCGCGCATTTCTCTGGCGAATTCCACGCTCGCGTCCCTCCGTCCGAGCCCATGATGAAAGGAGGAGTATGTCTTATCCTCACACTCACATAATTCTTGACACCACAAATCCCACGCGATAGAAAATACCCATAGCTAACAAATTGATCCTGCAGCATCAACCTGGCATCAAAGTCGGCAACGACCGCCTCCCAGAATCCCACCTCGAGACATTCCCTCCAGGAACTGCTCCCCCCGAATCATCCTTCCGCCCCAATCCCATTTCCGAAATCCCAGGCCAAGCCAACAACCCCGAAGTCGACGCCTCTGGCCGGTCAGACCCTCTCGACTTCCCCGGCGCCACATCAAAAGACGTAAGCAACAGCTACGGCCGTCCCATGCAGGGTCTCGAAGGCCGGGAAGTAGCCTCACAGCTGCCGGGCAAGAAACACACCGGCACGCGAGAGCATCCTCACGGCCATAAGGAAGCGGGAGCGGGACTAGGAGCTATTGCGGCGAATGTCAACAAGAGCGATCCCGTGAGGGAGCATGGGTGGGATTTGCCCGAGGGCGTGGAGAAGGGCATGAGGGGCAAGGTTGGTGAGAGTTTGACTGGGGCGGAGGGGGTAGAGCCCGTGAAGGCGGATGAGGTTGCTTCGGAGAGATTTTAAGAAAAAGATGTGATGATGATTTTGGAGTTTTGTTGATGAATTTGTATTTTGTGCTCTTGCACCCGGAGTCTAAAAAGACATTGTGTAACGATGCTTTGTATAGTAGTTATGATCGAGAAACACAAAACATACTGCCATAAAAACAATACACAAAACATAAGCTGCGGCTATCGCACCACGATACCCACGATCCCAGCAGCATCCGGTGTCATGTAAATGAAATCTATAAATAACCCACATACCCACGTCTCACTTACATTAAGAACAGACCACATCCAGACCGAAAAAGCGATTCCACACACACACACTTATACCTAGAACATGTGCATTAAACAAAAGAGCAAGCAGGTAACAAACATCCCTTTTCCCAAGCACTTTGCTGTACATCCTTCCACCTCTACCCCGGCATGCCAGTCCCGTATATGCCCGCTGCCTTTTCAAGTCGATGCCTTACTTACTTCCACAGGATTCTGTTTCACAATCATGTCGGTTATCAGGGGTATAGAGTCGTATCGGAGCATGACAAGGAACACGGCTGAGTAGCATTCCGCTCGCCCTTTGCGTAGACCTCGGTCAAGGTGAAGTGAGACCAAAGCTACGCTTACGATGATTCCGGGCTACAGTTTATGAACAAAGGATATATCCAGGTGTAGGCATATTGAACAATGCATAAGATGAATTAAAATGTATTAAAACAAAGAAAAATGCAATCTCGATAGAAATAATATGAAATACCTCACACGCTATAATAAATGTCCAAAACACCCGTATTATATATATCCTTCCTGCGCCCATCGCATCGCATCGCAATGTATACCTTCTTTTTAATCCTATCCCTAGGCAGCAAGCAAACAAACTGGTCAAACGTTTTGTCAGAAATCCGCGCAAGTAATATCCAATGTGAGCCGCCGGCCAAATGATTCCAAATCAATAATCTTTTCGCTTTCCCAATTCCTGTATCCCAATCCTACATGACACCTTGGCAGATGTAAACCGTTCGTAACATTTGTCCACCTTTGAATGGCTGGACAATCAAGTGAAATCATATGTGACCAAGCTCTCTGCGCCATCAGACGTCTCTCTCAGGACTGTGACTCTATGGTCGTCAGTCCCAACCCAGTTTCGCCTATGCTCTACTTCGTCTGAGGAATCGTCCTCGTCATCAGCATCGCTGTAGTCTCTGCCTTCTCTAGGCCTTACTTCGACGCTCACGTCGCTTTGGCGTCCCTCGAGATCCCAGACTCGAATCTCGTCACCACGCTGGCTGACGCTAACAGCTCTGCCTTCTGGGGTTACGTCGGCATCGGCGATGCCCGAGGTGTGGCCATAGAGCCTCGTAGCGTTGGAAATGACAAGGGACTTTTCCGTCGCAGTAACAACAAACAGCACAAGTGTGTTGTCGTGCATGGTCGCGAGCAGGTAGGGGTGGCTGTAGCATAGCTTGGTTGGCCCGCCCTCGTCATCATCCATGTACAAGTCGGGAAAGTTGGAGCATGTAGGGCACTTTGGCCGGTACGATGAAGTGGTGACCAATGCTCCCGTCTCAGTAGGTAGGGTGTAGGCAACGCGAGACGTGATGACATCCGGCTTGGAGCTGCCCGAAGGCCGGATGTCAAAGTTTTGAATGCCAATGGCCCAGCCGCCGACAGTGTCGAACGAGTAGGCAATGGAGGCAACAGCCGAGTTCTTGAGCTGACGGAGAGACAAGACCAGCGGCTGTCGCGAATAATCGGACTTGAGTGACGACAGCACAAAAGGGTTGGAGAGGTCTGCGCTCTTGTCTACTTGGCTTCCCACTTGTAGCGTAGACAATTCGCCGTCGCTCAGATAACCTATGTCACCATCACGATGGCTCGGACTAGCAGTAGACGTCTGCTCCGGCTCTGGGGCGGGCGTCTCAAAGGTGTACAGGGTGATGAATCCCAGCTCAGCGGCCGTCAGAGCATACGGGTATGAGTATGCGACCGATGTGAGTCTGCCCACGTAGCTCTTGTCCTGGCGATACAAGACGGCCAGCCGGCCCTCATTGACCGTCAGGCGCCAGATGCCAAAAGTGCCATCGTTGAAACCCAGCATGATGTCCAAGGTGCCCGCCTCGAGCTTCTGGCCGTCCAAAGCCAGCGCCGTTGGCACGAGGTGGATGCCATCATGGGTCTCGGTGGTTGTTTGCGCAATGGAGAGCTGCGTGCGCAAGTCCCAGGCCCGGAGCCCGGCTTGCAGGTCGACGGTGACGGCGAGGCCATTGACAACCTTGACCAAGGTCCGGCGCTCCAGGATGGGAGTCAGGGAGAAATTAGGGTTGACTTGGACCTGGCGCACCTCGCAGAGACCGCGCGCCCAGTTGTGTCGCAGACGGTACTGCTGCTTCCAGTCGACGAGGTCCGTTGGGTGGCTGGACTTGTCGGCCGGGTCAACGGGTTTGAAGGGGAGCTTGACGGGCTCAGCATCAACGGCATCAACGGCCGTGGGGGCCAATATCGACGAGCCGGGATTGGAGATGGAGCTGGAGCTGGAGCTGGAGCTGGAGCTGGAGCTGCCCTGTTCGGCGTTGGAATTGGCCCCCGCAGACGTTTGTGTTTGTGTTTGTGTTTGCGTTGACGACTGACCCTGTTCCCAATCTTGACTTGAAGCGTGTGCCGGGTTCTTGCCCTTGAGGCCCGGGATGCGGTTGGCGCGCGGCAGAATGAACCTGCGGTAGTAGTGGGAGCGCCACAGCTGGGGATCCGAGGCGACTCTGTAGAACTGGCGCGACACGGGCGCGGCGGCCAGCAGCGTCTTCTCGTCGACGTAGGAGAAGATGCGCAGCAGCAGCTCGTCCGACACATCGCGGGTCACGTCGTACGAAGGCGTCGTGAGCTCCACGTCGACGGGTTTGGTGAGACGCAGCCGCTTGGCCGAGGCGTCGTTGAGGGAGTGGGAATGGGTTGCAGAAGAGGTGGCAGAAGAGCCGTCTAGCTGGCGGCTGTTGCCATGGTCGCTGTACGACGCTTTTCTCTTCTTCATGCTTCTGATGGCCATCATCTTTGCGTGCGTGTGTGTGTGTGTGTATTGATGCGATGATCAATATCAATGATGGGTGGTGAGTGTGTGCGCGGGCTGATTGGTATAAGCAGCGCCCGGCTGTCCAAACGGGGGAAGAAGAGGAAGAGCAAGCAGCAGAGCAGCAGCAGTGAAGATGATATAAAAGCAGTAGAGGACAAGCAAAGCAAATGCTATCAGCGGCAGTATCGCTTCTTCTCCCCGGGTTTCAATCTCGGGGCGTCTCTGCCCTCTGGTCCAGCGATTTGCAGCGTCGTCACGGGCATGCAGGTATCAAATGCAGTGGAGCAGTGCAGAAAAAGGGTGATGATGCGGGTATGTGAGGGAGAAGAGAGAACAGCGAGGAACTCTAAATAAAAGGCGTAAGGATGATGCAGTGAAAAGAAGAAGAAAAAAACGGCTGTCAAGGGAGGGAGAGACACGGAGATTGTGGAGTTGCGGGCGACAAACGCACGTGGGATTGTGATGGAGGTTGAGGAGGAGGTTTATGTTGATGGAAAACGGAGATATGATAATGATAGCAAGTGACGGGAGATTGGAGGTGACAACTGACGGGATAGAATTACGCTGAGGTTTGCTGCCAAAATGCCCCGAAGCTGGTTTGTCGAGGCCCGAGTCCAGAGCTTGAGCTTCCAATTCCCCCCGTGGCACGCTGGCTTCCGGGTCCCTGCCGGTCTTATATAGTGGCTCCCCCCAAAGACGCTCCTCCAGTGCTACCGTAGCGGTTTGCATCCGTTCGGGCCTGCGGACGGCCCTGACGCGTCCAGGTAGTGTCCAGTCTAGTTTCGTTTTCCCCTTCTCTGTCTTGCCCTGTGCTTGTTTTCCCTTTTGCTTTGCTCTGCTTTGATTTGCCTACATGCATGCATCTATGGAGTCATGTACCTGTATGTACATGTATCAACAACTTCAACTCCTCCCCAAGACACATACAGGCCATGTACTCACTCATAAAATATCTCCGTACCTAGACCTTGTTCAGTCCCAGCCGCTGTCCAATCACTGCTCTACTGCACCTTTCAGCCACTAATAGGCACCGAAGCTAGACAGAAGCTTAGCACGGATTGCAACTGATGGATGCTTGGATGCCTTGCCGGGCTGCCAGTTGAGCTCCATCTGTTCCCCCACCACCCCCGGCAATCCATCCAGCACATGTACCCCCAGTATGGCGCCCTCTGCAAAGCAGTACATGTACCCACTAGCCGCTATCAGGCCCCTCCAGTAGAAACACCAAATCAACCACCATCACGGTTTCTTTCCTTTTTCCTTTTTGTCTTCTCTTTGCTTCCCAATTCGCCTCTCGATTTGTAATTCACGCCAAGTTCCCCAAACGCCAACAAACCGTTTAAGCGTTTCCCTCCCTTTTTTTTCTTCTCCTACTCATCATATCTACTAACTAAGTCATAGCTCGGCCGTGGCTTTTTGGCCGGCTGCCCTCCCTGCGACAAATCACTTCTGAAAAGAGTCGCCTGCAGGTACGCTTGTATCAGCCGCGGATGCCAGAACCAATAGATCGCCACAGCCCAAGCGGTGATTCAAAGTGCAAGATGCATGCGAAATGCAGACCAAAAAAAAAAAAAAAAAAAAGAGCAAAGAGAGACCAACAGGAAGAAAGCCCTTTCATCATACCGCTTTTGTTTAATATATGCAAGCCGCAAAACAACTCATCAAACCACCCCCTTCCTTAGTGGCTACGTAGTCTCTGCCCTCACTCCGTTTCCTGGGGTGGTAAAAGTTCAGCTCTTTTTGGCTGCATATTTTACTACTCGTGTGTATTCTATCATGATGTCTAGCCTCTCAGCATACTGCAAGGACTCTCGTTCTCCCCTCATTCTCTCATGGGCTCGCATCTCCCCCTCCCCCCTCACCTCCTTTTACGTCCCCTCCATCTCGTCTTTATCCTCAAACACGGCAAATATCAAACCGTAGATGGGAAAAGAAAAAATTATTCCCCGGCCGCTTATTGCATTCCGAGGCTCCATGGATCTCCGGATAAACTTCTCATTCTCCTAGCGTAGATCATCTGCACAGTCCCGTGCTCGCGGCTCATGATTCGAATTGATGTCTCATGCGCATGGCTCAGGTCGAGAGAGGCTACTTGTGTGCTCGTAAATTCGTGTATATTCATCATAAATCCGTTGTCATGTCATGGGTCAACCACATCCCCCCCACCCAAGTCGCTGACACAACCTCGATCGTCACAGCTGGACTCTTGCAAAGAGATCGTCGTATAGCTTTCCAACCCATCCATCCGATGCCCCAGCCTTTGCAACAACCTCGAGTCCTCCCACCGCCCACAATGCAGCTGCTGCCACTACTGCGGCCTGAACTCCCAGCCACTGGCGTCTGCGTTGCCGCTTCGTCTTCTTATCAACCGAGACTGCTTCGCTTCCCCACCAGCCCTTTGTCGACGGCGCAATCCCGAACCATTTGGCCAGTCCCCAGACCATATGGGCGCATCCTATTCCAATCAGGCCCCTGTAGGCGGTAGCTGCAATAATAGGGTGCCTCGCGAAGCCGTGAGAGACGTAGGCTAGGCCAATGTTGGAGCTGTCGCCCTCCACCACTAGTGGCAAGACTCGGTTCATCACGACGTGGGCCCCCCAGAAGGCAGAGAAGACGTAGCCAGACCAAGAGATCCAGCTGAGCGGCGGCCAGAGCTGAACGGACGGTCGAGGGTTAGCAGTAGACGAACGCATCATGGCGTACATGCCCGGCGTTGACCCGCCATACCTCTTAATGTTCTGGGACCTTCTAAGAAGACGCAACGCAATACCAGAGCCGATGTGCATCAAAACCGGCAGGCCAACCAGCAATGGTTCCGTGATGGGAGTCTGGTAGAGCTCTCGGGCCATAAGCAGGTAAGTCTCCGAGCCAGCCACGCTTCGTGTAACCGCGGGAATGAGGGACACATTGACAAGGTGCATGGTGGTGAATACCGACACGGCATAGCTGGAATATCTCTGCATTCGGCTCACTATATTTGATAAAAAACATCAAAGTCACAACCGGTCAGCATAAAAAAGGAACCACACACACTTTCGTCTCAGACAGGGTTGCAATGCAGCTGAAACTGGATAAAACCACGGGGAAAACGCAATGGGTTAAAACGAGATAAAAATAAGAATAAAGGCGGCAATCAGTTCAGGGATCATCCAGGGACGACAGAAAAAAAGGGAAAAAAGAGAAACGAACAGTAATAGATGGCGCCTCGGCCACTGCCACTCAACCCCGGCGCCATGGTCGAGCCAGTCTTGATGCTGCCCGCACTGCCTTCCATGGTGCCATCTGCGTCCAGAGAGTCGATTGGCCTCTTTTCTTCTGTCGGTGTGTCCGGGTCTGAGTCCATGGGCGCAGGATCCAGTTGGAGGAGAGAAATGGCCGTCAGAGTCGAGTTCCTCCGCTCTCGCCAGCCTCGCGGGCTCTCGGCGTCTGAGTCGTCGTCCATGGCGATTGCCGAGCTCTTTCTTTTCTTCTCTTTTCCTTTCTTGCTCTGTAACTGAACCAAGGATGAGATTCCTTAATTTTGAATAATTTTCACCTTTGTCCTTGGGTTTCAAAAGATTCCGAGATAAAAACGAAAATACCCGGGTGAGACATGCATGTCCGTACGAGCATCAAACCACCGGCTGGGTATGTTGGGGAGAAAAAAGAAAAAAGAAGGCTGCCCAATAGCAAAAGACCACACAGCCGTGGGGGGGTCCCTCTATGCCCAAACGAGAAATGGTTTGAGTGCCGCCCACATCCGCCGGTATAAATGCTGAGACAACAACGACACACAAGTTTTTATGCAAAAAGAGAAAACGCCCGTCCGCTCGTTTTGTTTCAAACTGTTTTCTCTTTTTCCATTTCCCTTCTGGGACGCCACCAATCCCAACCGTTACGGCCTTGATTGGAGCGCGTATGTTCCGCAATGGCACATTGGCCAAGAGACAACTGTCTCAACCTCCATGTTCGAGACGCCCTATTTGCCAACGCCCAACAGCATCATACCCTTTTAGCTCTAGCAGCGTCTTTCGTACAGGACGGTTTCATCTATTCCGCATTACATATGCGCTTCATACATGTGCTTGATGTGTACTGTATGTAGGTAGGAACACGTACGACTAGGTGCTAAATTACATGTCCGAGTACCGAGTCCTACCTTGGTACACACCACCTGCCCTAGGGCCAAGACGTTTTACGAAACATCCTATCGCCGTATTCTCCCTTACATGAGCCACCACTGTAGCGAGATGAATCGTGTGATTTATCATGCATTATGAATTTCACTGTCCAGTCAAAGCTAAAGAGCATTATTGTTAGCTAGCTAGTTAGCCATCTATCAAGTATGCCTTGTTCGCCTTGGGAAGGACTCGGTAAAGCAGCTTAAGCGACGGCTGCCGGGAAGTCTCCCGCTATTGATGAAGCTGGCCACTAACAGCCCTGCCATATCAAATGTACCAGGTGGACTCAATCGCAGTACGCTACGTATCAGGTACATAATGTATCACTATTATGCCATAGGTGTTTTAGTACCCAGCAAGTACCTAAAGCTACTCCGCAATCGGTCTAATCTAGGTCCAGGATTGGATAGCCGCCCATCATCAGCCCCACCATAGCTCCCTCGGCCCTTTTTCTCCGATCTTCCGATATCCTCCAACTCAATTGTTGCGTATCGTGAATCGTTATCGCGAGCTTCACGTCAGAGCACCGCAAAGCTCCGTCACTCGTACAGCACAATTGGATACTGCTCTATTCTTAGATTGCATCTCCAAGTCATTCAAAATGCCTCCAGTACGTACCTCTCCTCCTTCATCAAGCAATCAGCATCGTCAAACTAACGCGTCCATCTCCAGAGACACCAAACCCTTCCTCCCGCGCAAACCAGCTCGGCGAAAGAGGCCCAGAAATCCTTCTACTGCAACCTCTGCTCCAAGGGCTACTCCCGCATGAACGACTATGAGGCCCATCTCAGCAGCTACGATCACAGCCACAAGCAGCGCCTCAAGGACATGAAGGCCATGGTGCGCGATCCCAACGCAGTCGCAAAGGCGAGGAAAGCCGAGGCCAAGGCAGATGGCATGGTCATCAAGTTGAACAACCAGGAAGCGCCATCCTCTGGCGGTAGCGGTGGTGGTGGTGGAGGCTTCAAAAAGGGCGGCTTCAAAAAGACTGGCTTCAAGAGTGCCTTTGCTCCGGCGGCAGAGGCGTCGACATCAACCTCGGCTGCTTCGCAACCAGCAGTGACCGATGCGCCCCGCAAACCAGCGAACCAGGCCGCTCGTGCGCTCATGGATACAGAAAAGACGGGCCTCTACAAAGGCTCTCTCGTGGAGAGCGATACGGAAGATGAAGGATACGAAGTCTACGACCCAAGGTTTCCCACTGATTGACTCGTCCAAGACACAAGAGGCTACATTAAATCATTGACTGGATGCCATCGCTGTCTATTCCAGGGTATTATTACTATTATCATGCCGGCTATTATAAGTGCCACCTCATATGCCGCAGCCCAAATCCAGAACCCTACATGTCGGACTGCATCCACTTCTGCGAGTCTATCTGCGACAAGTCCTCCTCTAAGAGGCTAATCATGTTCCGGCTGCCAAAAAACCAATCCGCAAGCTGAGCCACCTGGCCGTTGCCCTGAACCGGTACCCCTGGGTCGTTGGTGTTGGCGTTGGCCATTGGTTGGTCCTCATTGGGGATGAAGCCCAGCTGGCTCAAGTACATCTCAAACTCATCCCCTATCGAGCTTTCGTCCTGCTGCTGCTGGGCTTTGGCTTCGACATAGAGCGTGGCGATATCGCACATGACCCGGCAGAGTCGGTATAACTTGTCAATGGGCTCCGATAGCCCCCTCCCGCCCTCGAGGGAATCCACAAAGTCCTGGAGAACCTTGAGGTCGGCGAACGAAGAAGTCTCAATGACATAGCAAAACAAGACAAAGAATGGAGCAAACGGTGTCAACAAGAGGTTCCTAGAGATAGGACAAAATGATGATCAGCATTTGGTTGGTGGAAAGGGAAGGGAAGGGAAAGGGTGGGTTCAGAATTGCTGTCTTCCCTACCAATGAATGTACATGGACCGCATGTACGTGCTAATGTCCATGAATTGAACACACTCCTGATGCGTCTTCATGGCATGACGGGCCGCGTCTAAGCACTCGTCGCAGAATCGGGTAATGGAGCCTTCCGGTGCCGGTATGACGCGGTAGATGAGCGTCTTGGTCACGTAGAATTGGACCTCGTCGCCTTTGATAAAAACGTCGACGACATCCGAGGTTCCTATCGACTTGAGCAGTCTGTGTACCTTTTCACGCGTCTCATCCGTCTCAATCTCCAGCCGGCTGCATTCCGCGGCCAAAAGCTTTGCTCGTTGGACCAAGTCCGCCTGTGGACTTGCCAGAGCGACTGGACTGTATCTGCAAGTGACGAACAGCCATCAGTTATCAGGTCGTATCAACAAATAAAGAAGAAAGATAGAAAAGAAGACCACAGCAGGCGGTCAAGGGGCTCATATATGAAAAAGTTTTCTTACAGTTGTTCGTAGATTCGGCTCTGCAGGCTGCTAATCTTGACCCATAACGTCGGGAACGTGGTGGATGTGAGATGGTCGAAGCCGTTGACTTCAAACTCGCGTTTGATATCAATATCGCATTCTGCTATTGTTGACGCCCGTCCAAGTCTGAGGCCCAAGCCCTTGTCCAAAGTATACACATGCCAGAAGATGACCTTCTTTTGCTGTGCAACCACTGGAGGGTCGTTTCTCAGCGATTCTGTACGGTGGTAGCCGCCTGCTTGACATAGCCAGGCGGCCATTGTGATGAGATGCCACGCTACCGAGGGCCTGGAGACGTCAATAGCATAGAGACACTATATCAATCAAACAATATCAGTTACTCTCCTCGTCAATAACTAAACAGGAGAAAGGCAATCTCACTCCAAGCAGCAGAGCCTGCACATTCTCAATCTTTGGCGACAGAAACAGCGGAAAGTTGGCCAGCGTCGTCTCGAGATTCGACTTGCAGATGGCCACGTACGAGTTGTACTCTTCGCGCAACGCGCCCTCCTTGTCCAGCGAGTGCTGCTCGACAAAGAGGTTGTACAGCATGGCGTTGACCACGGCAAAGGTGGCGTCTGAGAAGTCTTCCGTGGGGAAGTAGACGGTCTTGCACAGCTCTGCAAACTCCTTGATGCCGACGAGGGTGCACAGGATGGTGAAGAAGGTGGGAGGAGCGGCTGGTTCAAGTCAGACTATACGCCTTTTTGTTATATTGAAAATGAAAAGATTTGCGGCTTCTTTCTCATACCTTTGACGTGCTTGAGGAGGGAGACTACCGTGGCCAGTGGAGGCATCGGCAACTTGCTCACTCCCCCCGGCGGCACTGGCTTCTGCAGAGGGAATCGAGGCCCATGGCTTATCGATCGATGCTTTTGCATCTCGACAAGCTGGCTGAGATTGGCCAGAGCCGTCTCCATCTTCGGGTTGAGAGGCCGCAGGGGCCCCCTCTTGACGGCGCGCTCGAGGAACTCGCTCGCAAAGGTGGTGTGCACCGTCAGGCCCGAGTCGCCGCCCAGGACAGACTCCTCGTCGGAGCTGTCATAGTCGGCGTTTGAGGCGGCGGTCGGAATGGTGATGTCTGTCTGGGGGGTGTGGATGAATTTGGAGGCGTCTGTGGAGGTGGAGGACGAGATGTTTTTGAGGAGGGCTTCGATGTTGCCGAGGCGGGCTTCTATCTGGTCAATCTTTCTCTCGCTTGGTGATGGTTAGCTACATGTATCTAAGTTTGATGTGAAGAGACATGGAAGGATGATGAGATGAGTGGACATGAGATGAGCAACACCCATAGTTTAGAAGAGACTCACTATTGAGATGAGATGAGGACTCGCTGCCGAGGCTCCTTTGGCCTCTGTCCAGCACCCGTTGATGTGCAACTCCGCTTTGCTGTTCTGCAATTGGAACACGGCCAATCTTTATCACAGCGAATCTTGAAGGGAACAATTAGCCTACTGATTCAATCCAAGAATGAACCATGACATGAAATCGACGCTCAATTAGCCCGACTCACCTTTCGTAGACGACACTGATCACACTGTCATTCACGCCGACAAAGGCCATCGTCAGTACTCAATCAATCTCATCACCCCATCCAGCAGCAGCCCATCATCGCGGCTAGATATGCGCATCAAGCCAGATCCACAGGCGACTCTCAGATACCGGCACTTACAGCTCTCCGGGCGGTTGGATCGTCGGCGGCCGCGGACGGCGCGAGGTTCTGCATTGTTGTATCGGGTGATTTTTTGCTCTGAGCTAATGCGGACGAGGGAAAGGATATGGCGGTTGCAATTATATAATAGATGTTGGTGTATGTACTGCGGTTATTTGATTTATGATGAATTGAGATGATTTTCGATTCTTGTTTCCAGAAGAAATTGATTTGCTCATTCTCATGTGAGTTGAGTGAAAGGATGAAAAGAAAGAGGTAAGGCGGATTCTACAGCAGCATCTTTTACCAGGTTCATTTACTGCCAGCGGTGTTAGTGGCTGTACCTCAACAACTGCCATCCAAATTCAACAAACTAAGCCTTACCAAGTGCCGGACGCGCAATTGTGTATCAGAAAATAGATCATGTCTTGCATCTTTTGTTAGGATGCAGGAGGAATGCGACGCATCTGCAGCCAGGCTGGTGGATGCTGTGGAAAGCAGCAGAATGTACTCTTGCATGCATCCTGTGAGGAAAGGTACTTGTCAAGGCTCCGGATGTCCCGGAGTCCGCGGGATGCCGAAGATTCCTTGGCTGCGGCGAGTTATTACGTACCACAAGCAGCAGAGATGGATGGATGATTCAGGATAAATTGAAGGATAAACTAACTAAACTAAAATATAAAATAACATAAATAGGTTTCATTAGTATTAACGAATTATTAATTATGTTGGAATAGCTGGCGGTGTTTTAACTCTCAAAACGAATGTTTCATAACGAGACCACTTATAAACAAAATGATATACATGACAGTTGCTTCGATGAAAGGCTATCCAGCCCTACCTTATCTAGCTAGAAATGGCATTTCTGCATTTTTAACTCCATAGTCAGCTGTATCGTCAACTGGCAGAAAGACTTTCAACGTCTTTCGACATCAATCCGGGTCTCTGGAGGAAATCCCATCCTGGCCTCTGAAGAATGTTTGAAGAATAGCCTGTATATCTATATCCCTCCCTTCATTGGCATGGCCGTCAATTCTAGCAAATCTTTCAAGCTGAACAAAATTGTACTCATCTCCAGCCATCTTCTTCAAGTAATACCTCACAAGCATGGTTTGGCGGCCCTTCTGTTCAAAGTCCTCCTCTCCCTTGTGCGCCAGCTGATGGCAAGATAAAATTAGTGAGCTGATTCCAGCCGCGATAGCTGTAGCCACAGAGCTTTCTGATATCTTTTCGTTAGAGTTGAGAACCGGAGCAATCCCCGCCGGGACATTGACCGCAAATTCATTACCAAGATGCCTTTTTCCGGGAGGCGTTATCCCAGACTCGTCACAGGCGATAATGGGGATTGTCCCAAAAAAGCCTGCTGGGTAGGCATGTGTCAAACTTATGCCTTCAACATGAGCACTGCAGAGCATGGCAATGCCGCGTTTAATTGCTTCACAACAAGCATCCTCAAGCTCATATGTTGTTTCGCCGAGGCCGAGGCTCATAGAGATAACATCAACACCTTTGGATATCGCCCCTCGTATTGCCTTGTGTATAAGTTAATAAAGCCAACGACAGTAAAGCGCACCAAGGCGTGGAGGGGCGAGTAATCTACCTCTGCAACTTTTGCAGGAGTGATTCCGGATCTCCTTGATGACACTCTAGCAATATAGAAGACACAACATGGATCTATGGAGCTTATTATTCTGGCCATCTGGATGCCATGCGCGTCGGATGCCAGGAATTTTCGACTTAAAGGATCGTCATCGCCCACCAAAGATAATCTTTTTCTGATACGAGATCGTCTTTTCTTGACACGAGACCACAGAGTTTCATCGATCGGCCGTCTACTACAGTGTTCGTGCCGTTCTTTAATGCGATGGGTGTCTAATTGTTGTTGGCCAATTATAAGATCCCCTATGTTGTCGGTATCAGGCCGAATGCCAACCATCCCAGTATCAATAATAGCTATCCTGATCGGCCGGTACCCGCAAGATTCATTATGTGCGTCTTGAACCAAATCCCAGTATTTCTTTGTAAATTTCGAAAGCTCGGGAGCATTTCTATCCCATCTAAGCGACCATAGAGTCAGCTAGGTCGTATGTGTGCGATGATAGCCAACTCACATTTCTCCCAGTTTTGGCAGCTTCTCTTGGCGCTCCTCCTTTGCCTCTGATGTCGTCTGCAATGGCGTTGGACTGTCCATCTCCTCTTGGTCTCGCAGTTTCTCTATGTTCCTCGAGCACTTTGCGACTTTATTATAAATTGTGTATTCTGCCGCTAGGGTTCATTTGGGTCTTGCACACCTCTTCTTCTTCTTCTTCTTCTTTTTATACTGATGTAAGGACACATGCTGAGTGACGCAGACTGATTCTTTAAAGTGCGGAATTACTGATTTTTGTTACTTTTTCTTCTACAATTCCTTTATCAGCATCGCTCCTTTGTCTACATTGTCCCTTTGTGTACAGCGGCGCCAGATTATGTTCTTTGAGATTAATGTTCGTCCGTGCAAGCTCACCATCAAGCTCACGCTTTGGATTCTTATTGTTATATGTTGATTCGCTGCCCCCTGTGATCTACAATGGCTAGAAAATGGGATATGAAATGCCAAGGCTACATATCGTAAAGTAGTAAAAAAAGACAATCGATACTAATCCCTCATCAGTGGATAAAGTCAACTTCATCAAGCTTGATGCCAAAGCGAGAGAAGTGGCCGTACATTCTTCTTCTCGCTGAGTTCAAGAGTCTCTTGTAGGTTGTATCTAGCTGTTATGAGTTAGTTATAAGATCCAGTAGATGGTTGGTATTAGACGGAATGCCATGCAGTTCGTTGTTCAAGATAGTCATGCTAGTCGGCCCGTACCCGCGAGTCTCATTATATATCTATCAACTCTTGTACTAGATTGCAGTATTATTACATGAAGTAAAAATTTGGGAGCCACTCTCCGAGATCTGAGTATCATGAAGATAGCTGAGTCATGGTTTTTCGATGGTAGCCAATTCCCATTTCCAATCCTAGCGGCTTCTCTTCGCGTTCTTCTTATGTCTCTGATGCCTTCTACAATGGTGTTGAAGTTTCAATCTTGTAGTAATTGTCCAGTTCCAAGTTCAGTCTAGAGCTGTCCCCTTGGTCCCTCAGTCTCCCCAGGTTCTTCAGGTCAATACTCTTAATGATGTCGTTGCCCTCAAAGTTACACACGACATTCTTCCCTGGTGAAACCAAAAATGGCTTGGCCATGTTTGGATTAAGCCCAAAAAGTTGTCTTGTTTTGTTCTTGAGATCTTCGAGGGCGCCAAGTCGTGTATCAATTTGAAGCCGAACGTGGTAAGGCTCTGATGAAGCTCTTGAGATAAGCACCGCCACACAGATTTCCTGCAATATGCCGCTATTTTCCAAGCCTTTCTGCTCAAGAACCCACGTAACTCCATTGCGGCAGCCAGTCACAGGGCTAATCTCTGGGTTTGAGCGCCCTTCAGTGAAGAACGTCTGATCCCAAGCCTTGCTTTTAGTTTTTTCCCAACCAACAGAAGCACCGCCAACAGTGAGACCAAATCCGATACTCGCTTCTATTCCCTTTTCGTAGGGCATTCGGACAATCCATCTCTCCGCCGAGTGAAATGGTGCCCAGGCTTCGACTTGTGGTTCATTAAAGCCGTGGTGCCGCTTGTAATCCGCATCTTCAAACATCAAGGAAGCCTTCATAGAACCGAATTTGACATTTGGGTTATGAGAGGCAATCACAATTTTGAGAATCACTAGAGTCATTTCCCGATCAGATATTGTGCTCTCGCCTTCTAGAGGACAACCTTCATAACCATCTACCCAAAGAAGCCTCTCGACGCTCACGGTGTAGCCGGATTTTCTGTTTTCGTAAATTGTGTCGCGTTTCTCTTTGACCCATTTTGCTTTGACTTCCCCAGAGAAAGAAGTAGCTTCGTGATTTCGATTGTTAAGAACCCCAAATTTTAATTGTCGTGTCAGATCTTCAGTCGAAAGGCCCACATCCTCATATTCGTCAAGATTAGGTTTATTTTTCTTTCCTCGCACAAAATTCCGATTGATGATATGAAAATTTCGCCACATAATACTATTCTCCTGAGGAGGGGTGGCCAGTCGGTCTTCCACGGCTTGTGGCTGGTCCATTTCCTGGGATTCCAGCAAGTTGCTAGCGGCTTCATCATACCACGATTGGCCTTCGGGAAGAATAATCATATCTTGGTCTTCTTCTGGGTTTATTTCATCTTCATATTTTCTCAGTAAATTCTGACTGGGATCAGGCTCCTGTCGCAAACGTTCCTGCCGTGCGTTGCGAATATCCGATCGGATTTCAGCCAACACTGTAACATCGACATCACTTAGGTCTGGGATGAGCTTAAGGTCAGCATCATGGTGAACAAGATCGCTTTTTGTTTCTGGATCATCGGAATCCCACAACGACCACGGAAACATCTTGTCGGCCTCGATCTCGCTTTCACGCCTCTGGCTGATCCTACCATCGTCGACGCTTGCAGACTTTGAAGAAGCTTTCTGGGACACGTTTGTATCGGCATGTGGGGACTCTGGAAGAGATATCCAGGCGTATTCCGCAAGCTCTTCGGCGATGTGACTGTACACGGTCAAAAATTCATGGTCTTCGAACGATATTGTGCATATTGGGCACTCCAGCAAAATATCAACCCCAAGCTCCCGATTTATCTCGTATCTTCCGATATTTGCCAGCTCGAGCATTTCTTCGGTTGTAAAATCTTCTTTGTGTTCATTCTCGGTATGGATTAAGAATTCTGCTTCCGTCTGGAAGGTCCGTATATTTGATTGACACGATGAGACACATTTCCATTCTGCCACTTTATGCTTCGTCTGCATGTGACTGATCCATGCATCGCTGTTCTTGTATAAGGCATGTGGTGTTTTACAGTCTGGCAAAATGCAAACATATGGCCGAAGGTCCTCCAAAACGTGATTTCTAAAGAGGGTCAGTTACAGAAGACGTTCAGAATCATGAGGACAAAAAAAGAGTAAATTATGCCATACCTCCAGGCAGGTCCTTGGAATATTGCCCTTGCGAGTGGAATTCCACAATAGGGGCATTCAAACTCCAATTTTTCGCCCACTTCTGGTGGTAGCGGAAGATTGGTGAGAGAATCGTCTATTGTAGACCACTGAGGTCGTATCATCAAGCTCTTCACAGGCTTTGTCTGAGAAAAAACCGTTGTAGGCACGTATGTGGCGGTGTATACTGTTGACTGGACCGCATCATGTTGTGCTGTCTCTCCGCGTAATGCACCTATAGCCGTATGAGGCAGCCTGGACGGGGTTGAACCAGAGCCGCCTTGTCGCGAGTATCCAGCCGTAGATCGCGGCGGCAGGCTTGCTAAACTGTGGGACTTGAAGGACTCTTCTTTGGCTTCTTTTTCACTCCGGCCCACCCTCTTGCGGCGGGAGTATGCTAGTTCCCGTTGCCGTAAACTAACGGTTTCGATTAGCCGCTTCACCATGTAGTCGATAGGGGAAGGCTTCTTGTATCGCAGCAACAACTCTACGCCTTCTCTGAATTTTTGTGTTAAATTCACGCCGTCCTGCCATTCAACAAAGTTTGCGGCTTTGGTATGTCTGTAACTCATCCCAGCGGAGCGGATGGCAGCAGAAATTCTGAAAAGTTCTGAAAGCGCCTGCTCCACCTTCTCTCGCATTGTGTCGATTGGGTCTGCAACTACAGACGATGTCTCGGGAGCCTGGCCAAATGAACATTCTGATGAGCTAGCCGATTTTGATACGTGAGACGAGGGCAGTTGAGTCTGGCTGCCTATATCTTCTACAGTCGCGATAGCCCTTCCGGCAATAGGATCGGCCAAGGTACAGATTGCTATCAAGCATTACTATGGCAACATGAGGTCGTCGGCCAAAAGGTGGTCATTACCAGAGAGATACTCATGCAGTAGAGCCAGGAGTTGCAGTATCATGTCCACCAGCTCTGGTCGCTCGCGCAGGCGCCAGTCCATGGAAGTACGTTTCTGATAACTTCCAAAGATGCCGCCGTGAGCGGCCCAAAGGTTGAATCGGTCAAGCTGGTCTTGCGGCCATGGCGCCGATACCATTGACTCAATACAATCATTGAAGATTTCCAAGCACTCTGCGGCTTTGTTATAAATTGCGTTCTCTAAGGCCATGATTCGTTTGGGTTGTGTACAGTTCTTCTTCTCTATGCTAACGTAAAGGACGCAGGCCAGGGATTTAACTGCGGAGTATGGGATTGTGTAATTTCGCTAGTATGCAGCGGAATCGGATTATACTGCTTGCGATTGGTGTGCATTCATGCAAGTTTATCTACCTAGGTATATACATGTACATGGGTGTAGTTTTGGGCCAACTTTAAAGCTATTAGTATTCATTCTATTTCATAGAATTATCTGAATCGTGAAGCTCACTCACTCAAAATTCAATATGAGTGGATAACTACCTACTTTTTTGATCTTGTATAAGATTCTATTGTTACATATTGACTTATTGGTCTCACAGTTTGCAGCCACTCGATAACAGGGTGTTCAATAATGCAAAGAATGCATATCGCAGAGAACTTCAAAGGTAACCCTGATTGATCCTCATTAGTGGATAAAGTCATCTTCATCAAGGCTTATGCCCAGGCGAGGGAAACCGTTGGTATAGTCTTCTCTTTGCTGAATTCACAGTCTCTCATAAGCTGTTTATCTCTCCCAATGGTGGCTACCACAGTGTTCCAGGATCTCAGTCATAGGGCTATGAGTGTTGTAACCATCTAGTTTTCACTAACACTCGAAATCTCAGCATCCCAGGCCTCTTCCTTGTCGACATCTTCATCGCCACCCTCATAAGGTTCCTCATCTATGTCATCAACAACAACGGTTTCGATTATTGCCCCAGTCTCTCCGTCCTGAATCTCCGTTTTGTCATCGTCCCCAACGCTTTGGACCTCGCCTTTACGGAATGGAGCATGTGTCATACGGCGATAGTAGACCTCGTTGACGCTATATGCAAACACGAAATTGCTTGATTCGCCAGTGGTCTCTTCATTAGAGCTATTGGTTTCAAGCTCGCCGGCCATACCCAATCCGCCAGATCCAGTCCCCGATGGGTCGCCAGAGGCCGAAGCCTTGAATCCTGCGGTTCGTGCATTCTTTATGGCTGTCGTTGCCCCTTCAGCAACTGTGACACCAGTCACGATGAATACTCGCTTATCCCAGCGCCATTTTTTCAAATAGTTTGGCACTTCATCATGTTCCATCGAGTCTTGGACATAGGTAAGTGGTGGCGTGATCTGTTGGCTCTTCAGCGAGTCGAAGTGCCATGAGGCCGAATCTGAACGGTCGACATGGATATTAGCCTCCCCAGTGACAGGGACGGGATTGAGCTCCGCCCACATCCGGAACATGACTTTGAGGTCGCTCTCGGACGAAATAGAAACGTGTTTGTCTTCCGTCTCATCCACAATCACATCCTTGGGCACTGGGAGTGGCCCAAGGGGCATCAGCGCCGACTCGGGCTGGAATGGTTTGCCAAGGACCTGGCCGATTTGAAGGCGTCCATTGGACGCAAATTTACGCGTCTTGGTGAAGATCCATCCATCGTAAGTCCGGCTCATGATGGGCAACAGTGCAAGAGTGCGTTATTTTGGACTACTTTGCAACATGTTGAATCAGGCTGTGAGGGGCGGGGTTCCACGAAGTGCATCGAACTGCATATTGTATGCGAGGTAACTCATACTTCGTTGATTGATTGGTTAAATGAACGAAACATGCATCCACGTGAGCAGCTGCAACCCTTTCAGCTCATCTGCGAAGCGGGGAAATTGGGCACACTTCTAGTCAAAATATGCAATGATACGGCTCAGACCTTTGTTCTGCTTTTGCTTTTTGAATTCTTGTCTCTACGCACTATTCATCTATAGCACGTGTATCGCACATTATGGACGAGCCAGAGGCTGAGCTTTTGATAGATCTGCCCGAAGAACCATATGAACTCCTAGAACTGCTTCAAGACATTATCAGCACATTTCGCGAACATTACACTGGTCGTTTCCAGAATGACAGCAAGGAAACATTGGTTCGAAAGCATTTAAAGTCTCGACTTTGGCAATTAGACTTCCATTTAGAGGGTTATATGAACCAACAGGGTCCAATCAGTCAGGAACTATACACTGCGGCACATCGGGTGGCGGTAGGATTGAACAGCACAATTCATGCTCGCCGTATACAAGACATTATTGAGCGAGATAATGAGAACCATTATACTACTAGTCCTAGTCCAAATGTAAGTAGGGTGAAGTTTGGGTTGGCCAAGCTGACCTTTCAGAACTCGGAGCGCTAACTACATCATTGGGATTGCAAGTCAAAGTTTTCGAACTTAGAAACCTTCCGAACATTCGTTCGAAAGATCCCCAAAGACAAACAAACAGTCGATATCCAGCGTCCATTCATCAAAAAGATATCTGAAGCTGGCACTGAGCTGTTGTCTTCACTTGTCGCTGACTTTGACCTTCTTCTGTGTCGGGAGAACCCGCAAAGTGAGCTGGCCCCGATGGTCTCTGAACGCCCGCAGAAACAGAACAGGTGGTATTCAGAAAAGGAATTCCACGATTACCGGTCGCAATGCCGCGGTTATGAGGATCTCCACAGGTTATTACGCGAGTTCTGGCCTTGTCAGTGCGGAGCCGATCATGAAAATAAGCTCGGTAGTTGCATGAACATCATGCTTTGTCTTCAGTCAAGTTGGAAACACCCAAAAATCCCAAGAGAGGAGTACGACATGATTTTGCAACATGAATTAGCTCCTCTACACTGTAGTATAATGATTCAAACCCAGAAGTAAGTACGAATGCCTCAGTAAAATACTAGTGGCTCACGTCTTCTAGATGTTCTACATCCTTCGCTACAAAGAAGCTGGATCCTCCCTGCCAGGTTCTCTTTGATGGTATATCAGGCTTGAAACTAAAGATAGTGGCAACTCCAATCACTCCCACAGGCTTCGCCGCTGAGTTCTTTCCAGATCAAGTTATGTCCGGTGACCTTGGAAAACGAGTGTCGTTGCAGAAGATCCTACAAGACCGCATTATTCTCCTTGCAAGAGAAAGAAGAATCCTAGCCGTGATTTTATTCTACTCCTTCATGCAACTGCTTGATGGTCCTTGGCTACAGCAGTATTGGGACAGTGCTGATATTTCCTTCTTTCAATTCGATGAGAATGGCGGCCCTGCAACATTCAACTTCAGGCGGCCTTACCTTTCTGCTTGCTGGGTAACAGCACAGGGCAGCACGCGGCCTACAAAGTTACACAAGGATTATCATCCAATGCCAGATATGGTGACACTTGCAAGATTTCTCCTCGAGCTAGAACTACAAGAAAATAGAGTCCCATCAGATTTTACTCGGAATCTGCGTTCAGATCTTCCAAAAGCATCAAAGATGCTGAGCAGATTGAAGGACTTGGATCGAGATGAGTGGGCAAAACAGCAATTCATTGAGTCAATGAGCGCCTGTTTAGCCGTGGAAACATACGCCAAGTATGAGCCACAAGCTCCCCATCTTGGGATGTGGGACATTTATCAGAAGATTGTGAGCCCTTTGGAACAGAACCTCCTTTCCATGCTAGGCCCACGCGCCTCATTCAAGGACTTGGAACAGGAGCTCTCAGGTGTCACGCCGTTAGCTAATGTCATATTTGACGAGCCGGCTGTTAAGCCTCTGGAGCAAAGCCCGCCAATGTGAGACACAGAGAAAACACGTAACCTGGTCCTTTTACTGACCCTTCCACAGAAACACAGCATCGGACAAGTGGTTTACACAGCTTGAGCAAGAGACTCATAGTCTTATGAGTGGTGTCAAAGGTGGAGAAGTGAAGATCGCCATCCTCGACACCGGTATTGATCTTCAACATCCACTACTTAGCAAAAAGATCCAGAATGAAAACTGCTGGGATTTCGTCAACGATACTGAAGGCATATGTGATGAAGTCGGACACGGTACTCACACGGCCTCCCTGCTAGTGAAGACTGCACCTCAGGCTAGGATATTTTGTGGGAGAGTCTGGAAAACGCGGTATGAAGAGGATAATACCGGGAGGTTAATTGCCAAGGCATGACTTACTATCCCTCAGTCACTCACTTATATCACTTCACGTTATGGCTAATCAGGGAGCATAGGCAATCGAACACGCCGTGGAGGGGTGGGAGGTTGACATCATCGTCATGCCATTTGCCTTTTCGCATAGTCATAGCGACATTGAAAACTCCATCAAGAAGTATTACAACAGGGTGCTTCTCTTTGCGGCAGCATCGAACAGGTCTGACGAAAAACTTGGCTACCCTGCCCGTCACCGACATGTCATCTGTATATACTCCAACAAGACTTGGACGACCCCATCCGAATTTTGCAAGCTTGGTCAACAAGGGAAGTACAACTTCAGTGCCTTCGGAGAAGATGTCAAAGGAGCGTGGCCGACTGGATTAACGGATGGGGAGGCCGAGTTACGGCAATCGGGAACATCTTGTTCGACTCCGATCGTCGCAGGAGTTGCCGCTCTTCTCTTGCAGTTTGCTAGACAGAGCGGTAGAGGCGCTGTGCCTGAGGCGGAGGACCTCATGGATAAAATCGTCATGGAAAGGATCCTGTTTGAGTGTATGACCGAGAAGCAAAAATCTGGAGTGTACAACCTAATTCAGCCCTGGAAGCTGTTGAGTGGATTAGACGGCAAGAAAAAACGAACTCTACCATCGATAGCGAGTATGATATCGGAACGAATCAATGAAGATTAGCAAAACTAAGAGACAGGGAGATCCCGTCGGATATACATGATCTAGAATTCGATTCTAATCTTTTAGCCCAAGCACTGGATGCCATATTGAGCAGGCTGTCACAGTTTATTGTCCCAAGCGAATCCTTAGAAATCATTACCCCATTTAATCCTAAGCATACAGTCATCTATCGTCTATCCCCTTGGTGCTTCTACAACGCGAAAGAGGAGCCCAAAGCAATTAGTAACATGAGAATACATCTCCATTAGCAACATTGAGATAAGATTATTTGACATCATTACACAGTCTCAAGCAAATGAACATTGACCACATCAAAGTCCATTCTATTCATCATCATCATGACCGTCTAATTTTTAGTTCTAAACCTCCAATTCCATCCCATCCTCAGCCCACTTACACCAGAGTCTTGGCCTCTCCCTCCTTCAGCTTGCCAGCATCAACAAGCCTCTTAACCTCCGCGGCCCAAACTCCCTTGATCTCGTCCGCCACCGTCAGGCCGTTAAGCTTACCGGCAAGAGCAGCAATCTCATCGGGATCAATCTTGCCCTGCACCAGCTCGACATCGCCCAGGACGGCGTCGATCTGGGTGGCAGAGGCATCGCCAGAGGCAAAGTAGTTGGCGTCCTTGACGGAGCTCTTGAGCACACGCTTGTTCTTCTTGACGGCGTTCTTGGCGGCCTCCTTGGCCTTCTTGCCGGCCTCACGATCAGCCTTTGCGGCGGCTTCGGCGTCAGCCTTGGCCTTCTCCTCGGCCTCCTTCTTGGCCTGGGCCTCCTCGGCCGCCTTCTTCTCGGCAGCCTCCTTCTCAAACTTCTTCTTGTTCTTGGCGGCGTTGGCCTCCTGTCGGAAGCGCTTGATACGCTCATCACCGGCCGAAGCGTCATCTAGCAGCTTACGCAGGCGGGCGTTGTCCTCGGCCTTCTTCTTCTTGCGAGAGTTCTGGTTCTTGCGCTCGACGTGGCGCTTGTGGTCACGGCTCTCGCCATCATCGGGGACATCCTCGTCGAGGTACTCGAAGCTCCTCCAGCTATCAAAGTTGTACCAGAAGTTGTAGAATTCGTCGACGTGCTCCTTGGTGGCGTTGGCATCGCCAAAGGTGGGGACGGGGTGTGTCTTGGAGAAACGAGCCTCGGACTTGAAGACCTTGCTCCAGAGCTTGTAGAAGTCGCCCTTTTGCAGCTGCTTCTTGGTGGGGGGCTCGACGTCGGCCTCCTCATCGACGGAGTCGAACTGGCGGCGTCTGATGGGGTCGAGCAGAATGTCGGTGGCCTTCTGGATACACTTGAAGAACTGGTCGTCCTCGGCACGGCCCAGGGCAGCCTTCTTATCGGGGTGGTGCTTGAGGACCTTCTTGCGGTGGGCCTTCTTGATCTGCTCCTCGGTGGCCTTGTAGCGGTACTTGGACAGGCCGAGAACCTTGTAGTGGTCCTGAGTCTGTGTGTCTCTGTTAGCACTGGCCGAATTGGACTGGCAATCCCAATCCCGATATCATCCCCCCTCATGTTTCAACACATACCTTCCAGTCCTTGGCCTGGCTCTGAAGCATCATGGGGTCCTCAGGCTCGCTCTCATCGCCATCATCAACATCCTCGACGTTCTTGGCGCTCTCCTGGGCCTGGATCCGGTCATCCTCGGAAAAGGTGCGCTTGTGACGAGCTCGGCGGGCGTGAGCCAGGAAATGCGGTCCAACAGGCTCGATGCTGCGCTGGACAGCTCCGGAGAGCTTGCCGACGGCCTTGAAGTCCTTGTCGGCAGCCCAGCCCTCGGGAAGGGCGGGAAGAGGGAGAGTGACAACCTGCGAGACGGAAGCCATTGTGATGATTTGCAATGACAGACTTTGGGTTGAGGAGGGAAAAAAAAAAAGGTTGGACTGAGGGTAGTGAGGCAATCTCCAGTTTTTTCCTTTTTTTTCCTCTTCTCCCACCAACGGCCAATCAATGGTGGGGTTCTGACAGGGGCTGGTAGTGCCATCTGTGGTGGGATGTCGGCGGAAGACGGCAGAACCGGACCTCCGTTGTTTAGCAGCAGCTTCAAAATTGATATCATCCCGCTAATAATCTTGAATACATGCACTTCCATTCGCCTGCATGATACAACTTGTAATTCGTCTTCTTCTTTCTTTTGCTAGCGATTCCGTCTCAGATATCCGATACAATGTCATTGGCAGCTTATAGAAACCTCATGCGCGCTGCGCGAATCGCCTTTCAGGGTAAGATGCGCTCCCTCGAAAAACCCGGGCTTCATTTATAATCCCGACATCAAAAGCAAGACTAACAATTGCATCCAGGCGACGTCCATGTCCTTTCGGCGGCCCAGAACCAGATCCGACAAGGCTTCCAAGAGAACCGCGCACTTGACTCCGACTCTAGCATCCAGACGGCAATCAAACATGCCGAGGACGTGGCCACCATCCTGCGCCAGAACATTGTCCAGGGAGAAAAGATTGAGAGCGACGGCGACAAACACACGTACAGTAAGATTTACAGGGCCGGTTCTCAAGATGTTGTTACTTTGCTAATACTTTAAACAACAGAGCTGCGAATACACGAACACACCGAGCGAGGCGATAATGACAGTATCCTGACGGCAGGCAATGGCAAGAGTGGTGGTGGTTGTGGCTGCAATTGATGAGCAGCCTTTGTATATATATCATTGTAAAACAAACTATGTAGAATTACTGGACTCATGATACCCTCCAATCCAATGACACACGATAAATTTGGCCTTCCATCACGTTGAATTCCTCGATATGTAGACGACGTAATATGCAACCCGCTGTAGTCTCCCTATAGCACCGAAACGCCCGAAGATGATGGATAAAACAAAAAAGAAAATGGAAAACAAGTAAGAAAGAAGCCAATATGGCCAGATATGGCGAAATCCTCTTACTCTCCAGACATGCTTGCGTAGGTGGGCGCTTCTTCTGCTCCAGGTGGTGGTGCAGCAATCGCACGATTCGCCACGCTTGGTTGCTGGCCGCCTTCTAGGGCACGCTGCTGCGGCTTGTTCTGACGGATGCGAGCATCTTGCAGCATCTGGTAGCGTTGCTCTCGGTCCATGGTGCCAATCGCCTTTGGCTGTCCCCAGCGGATCCTCAGCGGGCATCCAGCAATAACCGCCCTGCCCTGACAAGCAGCCGCTGCCTTCTCGGCTCCATCTCTCGTCTCGTAGTTGACAAACGCGCAGTGGGACATGTGAGAGCACACCAAGCTCTTGATCTTGCCGTGAACCTTGAAGAAGTCGCGGAGCTTGTGCTCGGGCAAATCGTCCTCCACGCCCGTTACGAAAAGGGACATGATGTTGGGGTCATCCGGCGGCAGCCAATCTTTGGGGCTCGGTGGGAGTTGTGCTGCGCTCGGGAATGCTGGACGGCCTCGCCCCTTTCCGCCAGGTCTCGCGCCCGCGGCTGCTGCGGCCCTTGAATCTCGTGTTCGAATCGGGCCAGGGCCTCCTACACCGGCTCCAACTGCAGCATTCCCTCCAACTCTTGCGCCAGCGAGTTCTGACTCGTCCACGGTTCTGCCCTTTCGAAAGTACGGCTTGCTGGCGGCCAGACGACGCAGGAGCTCGCGGGCCTTTTCGTCCGTCTTCTCGTACTCTTCCGTTCCGGCTTTGCCTTCCTCGATCAATTTTTCGTTGTTCTGCGCAAAGTATTCTCGGTTGACATCGGATCGAGGCCCCGGAGCGATCATCTTGAGCGCAGCGTCACGGACGGTGATGGGCAGGCCAAAGCTAAGATCCAGCATGCAGCTCTGGCAGCAGTTCTTGAGTCGAGCGCACGTCAGGCAAACGTTGGTCCGTCTCTTGCGGCCTTGGGCGCGCTCAGCAGCCCAGCTGAAGACTGTGAATGGTCGCGTACACTGGCAATTCTGTTAGTATACACATTTCGATAGAATAGAATGGTATCGAGCAGGGGGCGACATACTAATTTGCATTCGGCTCCGTAGTCTTCCTTTAGCATCTTGACCATGGGGTTCTCGGGCAGGCAGTTTTCGCAGACAGAGGGAAAGTCGGTTGTCTCCCATCCCGACCGGTTGAGATCTTGTTTGATTTGGGGCGGCATGACGGGCGACGAGGTGCAGCGATGGATTGACGATGGTGTTTCTTTTCCAAGGTGCAACTGTAACTGTAACTGTATGATGCAAGCTGCAAATCCAAGATCGGATCGCGACGTGCAAAGAAATCTTGGTGGAGACCTGCCACCGCCCGCCACAAACAGAGGTTACATAAGCATGATGTGGAATCTTATCGATAGCCACCCCAGCGCATTGCAAAGCAAAAAAAAGTGGCTTCGATATAATTCCAGGATTCGGGTCAGGCACGTTTAGGCTGTATGTGTCTGTGGCTTCCAGAAACATGCCACATCTCGGCAAGATTTGCACATGCTATTCTGCTTGTACAACGATAAGAAGACTGTACGTACGGGTATGGGAAATTGGACACGCGGCTGGGGAGAGGGAGGAATGGACGTCACTCCAATTTCAAAGACACGGCCGAACGTTGCCACATCAATGCGACTTTAAGTCATCTCAGCTCGCAATCATCTATCCGACAACGATTTCTCCAGTACGAGAGCGAATACAGATGATACCACTGGACGAGGAATGCCTAGTAGCAGCACTAATTACATCTTATACGCGTATTTGGAGATTTGGCGCTTGGCTCCGCAGATACACCTCCCCTAATATGGAGTTTATACCGCATCCTTAGCACGAAAAAAAGTGAAGCCGACGGAGGAATTCACCGCAAAAAAAAAGAGGCGCATGCAAGGACACCCAAAGCGAGTTCGCGTTCGTATTCGCACACTGCGGGGCGCTCACCGCCTACCGTTTACGTGGCAGCCCGTCCTCGATCCAACCAACCAAAGGGCCAAATTGCTCGTCTAGTGCGATATCACAAGCCCAGAATTAGAATTGGAGATTGGCGGTTGCCGTTCGTCAGGGGTAAAAAGAAGCGGACGGGTGCCATGAAATTGCTGCATTGCGATTCTGATGCCAAAAGACCCAAACAAAGGACAACGCATAAAAGGTCCCAGCTCCGCTCATTTGCGTGGCAGCCACCCGTCCTCTTTTTCCCCAACCTCTGGAGCATCTCCATCTTCGTTGTGTGCCTTTAGTTCTCTCTTCTTCTTTTTCTTCCTTCCTTTGACCCTCTTTTTGTGCAGCTAATAGAGATTTTCCATCTTAATTTTTTAATTCTATCCTGCTACAACCACCTAATTCAACATGGCACCCCTAGCTCTCGAGAAGGAGGACAAGGCGCGAGACGCCGCCTTCAACAAGGCTCTGCACGGCAACTCGGCCAAGGCAAAGGGAGGCATTGCTGCCATGTTTTCCAAGGGCTCCGACGCCAAGAAGGCCGCTGTCGACGAGTACTTTAAGCACTGGGACAACAAGCCCGCCGAGAACGAGACCGCCGAGGAGCGTGCTGTAAGTTCTTTTCTCTTCTCCCCGCTCTACCTCTCCCAATTCTCCCTTGGGAAGAGAGGGCAATTGATTGAGTTAAATCACGGTCTCTAACCCTCCAATCAACAGGCGCGAACGGCCGAGTATGCCACGCTCACGAGACACTACTACAACCTGGCGACGGATCTGTACGAGTATGGCTGGGGCCAGTCTTTCCACTTCTGCCGATTCTCCCACGGCGAGCCCTTTTACCAGGCAATTGCCCGTCACGAGCACTACCTGGCTCACACCATTGGCATCAAGGAGGGCATGAAAGTCCTCGATGTCGGCTGCGGTGTCGGTGGCCCTGCCCGTGAGATTGCAAAGTTCACCGGCTGCCACGTCACTGGTCTCAACAACAACGACTACCAGATCGACCGAGCAACCCACTATGCCCAGAAGGAGGGCCTTTCCGAGCAACTGGCCTTTGTCAAGGGCGACTTTATGGTATGTTTGACCTGCAACAACTTGCTCGGTGTCTTGTTCTGTATGTACTAACGCAAATCTCGCCTGCAGCAAATGTCGTTCCCTGAAAACACCTTTGACGCTGTCTATGCCATTGAGGCTACCGTTCACGCCCCCACTCTGGAGGGCATCTACGGCCAGATCTTCCGCGTGCTGAAGCCCGGCGGTGTCTTTGGCGTCTACGAGTGGCTTATGACTGATGAATACGACAACAACAACCTGCACCACCGCGAGATCCGTCTCGGAATCGAGCAGGGTGACGGCATCTCCAACATGTGCAAGGTGTCCGAGGCTCTGGACGCCATGCGCGCTGTCGGCTTTGAGCTCCTCAGGCATGAGGATCTCGCTGACCGTCCCGACCCCCTTCCCTGGTACTGGCCTCTGTCCGGTGAATTGAGATACATTCAGTCGGTCGGAGACATCTTTACCATTGTCCGCATGACCACCTGGGGCCGCACCATTGCCCATAACCTGGCTGGTCTGCTGGAGAAGATCGGCCTTGCCCCTGCCGGCACTAAGAAGACGGCCGACAGCTTGGCTCTTGCTGCCGACTGCCTGGTTGCCGGTGGCCGCGAGCACCTGTTCACTCCCATGTATCTGATGGTTGGCCGTAAGCCTTCTGCTTAAACGGGGACAGGGGAGAGGGGAAGAAGGGAGTGCGTGTGTATGTGTGAAGGGGACCAAGCAATTGATACCATCTTGGATTTTGATACCTTGATTGACGTGGAGTAACGAGCGACCCCAGTGGGAGGATATAAAAAAAGCGGCGTCGAGCATGATTACTTGAACGGGATGACGATGCATTGCTGATAGAACAATCGGCACATTTTTGTACGCATATGTAATGGCTACAGCAAAAGATGCAAACCGCTGCATCTTTTTTAATAATTTCTCTATTTTTTGC